CATTGTCACGAATAACAGACTCCTCCCAAGGGGGCTCCAGGGAGGAGTTCCACATTTGACCGCCAACACATTCAGGACAAAATTTCTGCCAGTGACAGGGCATGGGGTGGGAAGGGATCTGGGAAATCTGAGGGGGGGCGTAGTGGGAACGAGGGTTCTATATTTGTCCAGTCCTTAAAAACTAGCCGGTAGTCTCTCATTTCTTCCAAGTCCTGCATCCCTTCTCCTCTGTTGCCACTCCACTCCACTTTTGCAATCCATCCTTCTCTATTCCCTCCTACCCAATCTTTGCAGAATACCTTAATCCGTCTCCTAACGTCTCTAGTTTGTCTAAGGAGGTCTAATTATGACTTTGTGTCCAACCATCTATGTGTGAGTTCAAAGTGGACCTGCCGCTGTATCTGTTCTGTAATTTCTAACCCTTCCACCCGTACCTTTTTCATAGCCAGGGAGCATCTTTGCCACCAGAGTGCCCATATCACCGCCCTCCTTCTTAATCTGTACATGTTCTCTACAAAGGTTGTGGTTGTTTCTGCCTACGACCAATGCCTAGCCAGTATGACTTGCCATGACCAGGGCTAGGGGATTTCGGGTTCTATTTTTCGCCATATACGATCCCACCATCTCCATGTGAATGGAGCAATTGGACATTGCATGAAAATATGTTCGATGGTCTCCGCCTTCTTATAGGAAGGGAAGAGACTCTGACACCGCTGGCATCATGGGAGCAACAAACCTCTTTGTTCGAGGTTTGTTCAGTCTGTCAACCAGTCATTGGTTGTCAGACAACAATAAGCTATCTGCCACTGTAGGGAGATGATTTTCATAGGTTTATACTTTTGTTCCTTAAACCATTTGATTGGTGACATGAGGTTACGGTCCACATTCAAGTGTCTAGCCCATCTATCGTTAATCATATCTTTCAGATACCTTTTAGGTCTAAACATTTTGTACGCTGATTTGACCGTTAGCTGGTGCAGGCTGGTATGACATGTCTTGGTGGCTCTCCTCCTTTGGGGGGACTGCCAGGTCCATTCCGTCGGGTCTAGGGGTAGGTCCTAAATTGGTTTGTCTGGCTGGAACACCACCCTTTGCCCTTTTTCTACTATAACTCTTACCCGGTACATTGTTGCTCTCTCCACGCGAAAGGTGCTCTGCTCCCTTGGATAGTGCTTGCTTTGATAATACCGTAGTCTTCAACCAACACTATTTGGGGTGAAACCATATGTATCAGACCGATCTTCATCGGGGTCCCCGTGTTCGCCACCCAGTCTCCTTCCTTCAACGTGGAACCCCGTTTGAGGATCCGGTACCATTCCAGTGGGATGATTTCGATAAGGCTTTCCAGTGACTCTTCTACGTGATGGCAGTACCTTAGGGTTCAAGCTGCTCGCATTTGGTCCCCTGTTTTCCAATCTTGCTTGTCCTTGTCCCAAAGGTCCCCTACTCTAAGTATCCCGTTTGTGACCCAGCTCTTCCTGGGCGGGGATGAGCTTGTCATACGCAGGCCCATGCGTCTATCACCCATCTATTTCCAAAGCGGGGTTCAACTTGGCGGTGGACCTCTTCCCAACGGTTGGGGTGAACCCTGTTTGGGAGCGGAAGTTTACGCCTGGTTTGCAACAGAGATGGCCAAAAGCTATCCAACGTCTGACCACCTCCTTCTGACTACTCCCTTCCATGTGTGAGCTTCCGTGGGATTGTCCAGAATCGATCCTCCAACCAGGTCAGTGGTTGAATCGTATGGGGGGTTGCCGAGTCCAACCGGGCCAAATGCTCCAGGGCTAAAATGCACCACGGGTTTTGGGGGGCAAAGATAAGCTTTTTTATCCATTTTACTCGTAACGCCTGTACTTGCGTGGCAGGGTCAATTATTCCCAGACCTCCCCCTGCTTTCGGCTGGATAACTGAGTCCCAGGCAACTCGGCGATCTATAGGATGAGCAAAATCGAAATGAATCTTCAGCTAGAACATGGAAATATACTTTTTTTTTTTTTT